GCATCAACTTCTGTGGAGTCTTCGGTAAATATGGCTTCATAGAGAGACAGTGCCCTTTGCTATGGACATCTTTCAAGTTATTGACACACTTCCACGAGCAATGCATAATACTGCAATGGTAGTCATCACAAAGCATTTTGAGAATCTCAACATCACACGTGAATTCTATATAAATCGGGAACAAGCTTACAATGCACGCAACTGGCTAATACAAAATCCACTTTATCGGGATGTAACAATCAATAAGGAAGCAAACATCGCTGATGTACATTCAGTTGCTATTCCTGCGCAACAACCAGTGGAACAAAACCAGCCGCAATAACCTGCAAATGCTTACATGGCAATCAATGAAAGATCTAGAATTGTTTGCGCTGCATGGCATCAGGCAAATGAAGATGTGTTTACAGGGGCCAATGCAGGTGTTCAATGTTGTACAATGGTGTTGGCAAATATTGTAAGAGCTGCTATACTGCCACCAAGCATATGGACCACAAAAAACATTGAACGTGAACTTGATTGCGGGTCTTGAAATGTATGAAACCATTTGATTGGCCAAACTTGCCAATCTAGGATATCCAATGACGGAAAATGGATCTCTGCAAGTCAAACATTTCGAGGTCATAATAAACGACTTCATTATGTTCAACAACTCATTCTCAATAGCCTATGATGAGGAAACACTACTCGTTGGAAGTCTACAAGACTCAGTTAATGAAGGCGATTCACAAGGAATGACTTTGGCCGATGCATTTTATGCATTGTTCACAAATCTTCAGGCTGGCGTACTAATAACAGGATACAAATCACTAGCAATTATGCATTACGATCATAAATACTACTTCACTGATTCACGTTCATGTAGTCTGAAAGGTGTACCAGCAGGCAATGGCAGAGCATGCATCATTGAGTGTGACACAATTGAAGAACTTGAACGAATCTGCAGACGATCCACAGGATCAAGAAATGTTAAATTCACCATAAACTTCATAGATGTTTCTCACAAAAATGACATCGTCCGTCCAGGAATGGCAGAAGAAGAATATTCATCACCACATCCGCGAGAACCAAGGCAAAAAACTATCACAGCAACAGTTTGAATCGATGCCTGTACAAACATAGTCATGGCTTCGATAGATTGTAATCAGCCGATTGTGGAGGATGAATACGAAGTCCCTGATAATACTCACGAAATAAGGCGTAAAACAACGAACCACATTGTGAAGGAAGCACATGAATTGAAAGGTGAGGAGTTTGCATGGTTCTACCTCCTTCCAAAAGGAATCAATGGACTCAAAGAAGTAAGACCTGTGAGAATCACTTCATTGGACTACTTTCAATTCAGAATTATGGGTAGTGATACACGATTTCAACGAAACGACTACCTCTTCTACGCATTATCAATGTTCGAGTATTATCGCATCCAATTGAACATCTCAGCTTGTGGAAAGAAGGACAAGATGGTACAGTGGAAGATCTTCACCTCTACCTTAAGTACCTTAGAGGATCAGCTGCATATTAGCAAACAGCGCTGAATGAATTGATCGGACAAATACGTTGAATAGGACCACCAATATACTTCGGGACATTCAGTTGCAATGATTTGAATTGGCTTGATATGCGCGAGGCTCTCTTAATAGCTGATGCCAGCGCGAGGCTCTCTTAATAGCTGATGGCAGACCCCATGAAGATCCAAATGAACTAAACATATATAACACACAACGAATGATCGAACCAGTATCCTCTCATAGTCACACGATACTTCATGATTCGATTGAACGCACTTATTACTTTCTTGATAAATAATCATGAGGTCTTTAGTGGTCGATTGAAGGATTACTGGTGGCAAATCGAGTTCCAAAATCGTGGAAGTCCACATCTACACATGCTGGTGTGGATATAAGATCGTCCCTCATTCAATGCACCTGAAAGAATCAATCAAATTGATCAAGTGTGCACAGCAAAAAAAAACGGACGAGAGTTCTGAGCTATATGAGCTCGTGAAAAAGTGTCAGGTTCACCATCATACAAACACACGCAAGAAGAATGATGAGGACTCATCAATAGCGTGCCACTTCAAAATTACACGACAATTTTGTGATGAAACCCGCATCGTCTCTGAAACATCTGATGACTTAATTACCAATGGTGGTCGAATATGCTTGCTGAAGTGAAGCTACGGAGACCGATGGATTAACAATTACAATCCTATGCTACTCAACCTCTGGAAAGGAAATATGGACATCCAGCCATGCGGATCAAATGACTCAATCGCGTACAACATTGCTAAGTACATTGCAAAATCAGAACCTACGGAACTTTCCCCAGGAATCAGACAAGCAATACTGCAAATTCGACGAAGAAAATGATGTGTCCCGCAAACTGTTGAAGATCTGCATGCAAATAATGAAGGAGCGACAGGTTTCAGCTAGTGAATGTGTTTTCCGATTATGCCATCTGAACCTTCGAGCGAGTTCAAGAAAATGTGTCTTCCTCAATACTCGTAAACCCGAGCAACGACACAGAGTGTTGAGATTCAATAAACAAGGTCTGGCATCTGGATATTGCGCCAACATCTTTGGACGATACGAAAAGCGTCCTTTGCAATATCAAGATATGTGCTTGGTAGGGTTTGCAATGTTATTTGAACCACATTATGCTAAAGCACAAGACGATCTTCAAGTTAATATCGATGAGGATGCATATGAAGAGGTAGAGAGCTCTGCCAGAGGGAGAGAGATGATCACGCTCACTGATAGAACAAAAATGCTCAAAAGAAAGGTTCCAGCAGTTGTTAGAGTGCCATAATTTGTGCTTGCAACAGATCATGAAAACTACTATTATAGCTTTCTGGTTCAATACAAACCATACAGAAGTGAACAAGAGCTATTGCAAGGATTTGATACCGCAAAAAAAGCTTTTCTGGTAAAATGAACAACAGCTAAAAAGGATGAGTGACCATATGGAAGTGCATCGTGAACGTGCCAGACAACTGGAGAATGCATTCAATCAAGTTCATGCACTCAACATTCTCGAACAAGCTGTACCTGTTAAAAAGGAGGTGCCAGATGTGGCAATGGATGAGAACAATTCCAATCGGCACGTAGAGCAAGTAATGTAGGACAACAGGAAATGTTTAGAATGGTCACAAAAAGCATTAACAAGCAATTGCATGAAATCCCCTGAGAATGAAGACTCTCCTGAACGCTTAAGAGTCTTTATCACTGGTGGAGCTGGAGTGGGCAAAACATTCCTACTTAAATTGTTGCAGAATCAAATCAATCGTTGCTTTGCAAAGAAAGCTGTAGTTGCCTGTGCGTTAACTGGAGTCGTAGCGCGCCTTATCGGTGGATCATCTATTAATTCCGCATTGAAATTGCCTGTTCATAGAGATGGTCGAAGCGCTACCATGTCACCATTAACCGGACATTACTTAAAAAACTATGCGACTACAATGGAAGGACATTGAATGCATAATCATCGATGAGATATCAATGGTCTCATATCAGATGCTATGCATGATTGGTATTCGTCTTTGACAGCTGAAGAATAAGTATGATCAATTCTTCGGTGGTATGAATGTCCTGCTCTTTGGCGATTTGATGCGGCCTCCAGTTAGACCGAATAAGACCACTGTCACTCCTATATCTGATCAGCCAGAACATCTACAACCAGCCACTCATCTATGGAGATTATTCAGACTGTGCGAGCTGAAAGAAAATATGCGACAGCAGGGTAATAATACGCTCATCAATGTACTGAATGCACTGCGAGTTGGAGAAATGAGAGCTGAGCATTTCGCAGTATTTTAAAGCAGACGTCTTCAAGAACCAATTGGAGAGTTTGCCATACATAAAACTCTGCGAATCTGCCCAACGAATAATCAAGTTAATGCTCATAATGAAGCAGTGCTTTAATACTTCAGAGCTCTTAACACCCCTATGTACACAATAATAGCACATGATTAATTACTGAAAGCCACGACAACTGTTGAAAATATCCAAATGCAAACAATAATTCCATAGGACATCAATTAGACTGGAGGCTTGCCAAGTGAATGTATAATATTTATAGGAGCCAAAGTAATGTTAAGATCCAACATTGATGTCTCTAAAGGACTTGTAAATGGTGCAATTGGATATACAGGTATCACAGAAATCACTTGGCCTATTCCTCGTCGTGCACAATTGCACCAAAGACAAAAACCTCCACCAGTTGAAATGGACTTTGGCAAGGACGACACACACGAATTTAGGCCTAAATCAGTTCAGTTCCCTGCTAATCGTGGCTATGGTACAGCTGAACGAAGAATGCTGCCACTAATGCTATCATGGGCATCGACAGTGCACAAAAATGCAAGGATGTACAGTGCATCATGCAGTCGTGTACTTGGGATCAAAGCTCTTCGAAGCAGGTCAGGAATATGTTGCCTTAAGTCGTGTTCGCTCGCTGGATGGACTTCAAATTGAAGATTTGGACAACCGAAAACTGACCGGAAACACACCATGCAATAATGGAGCATTAGCAGAAATTAATAGAATGAGAAACCATCAACCACATTTAAAAAAAAATGGATTTGTGTGACATCTTATACACACAAATATGGTCGAGTACATTGCAAACAACATCAAGGCAATGTATAGAGTAAAGAACAGTGCTCTCGGATCACACTGTAAAAAGTAAGGTCCACAAAAGAAGTAGACTTAGTCTTAGACGGAGTCTATTTTTTAAAAAGTATTTTCAAAAAGTATCAAACAATATTCCTTGTTAAAAATTCATTGTAAAAATAAAGACTGAAAATTATAAAATAAACTCCTTACATTTTTTTTTAAAACACTTTTGCAGTATTTTAAAGTGCACTCAAAAGTTAAAAATAAAAAAAATTCAGCCGTCACGAGCTGATCAGAATATTCTTGGACATTTGTTGCTAAAACATTAAACCGTGGGGCGCTCCTTTAATATCACTTTTATCTTCATCGATGACCAACAATAGGTAAAGAAAGTTACCAACAAATGGTACTCAATAGCATAACAAAAAACTATAACATTTCTAATAATATAGCGGGACTATCTCTATTTGCTATTACCAATATCATGATGCTACTTGGTTGAGATGGCTTGATGTCTTAGTAGCACGTTTGGAATTATCAAAACTATTCCATGCTAATATTCAAGTATTTAGGTTTTGAAGAGTTGGAACAAAGTATATTAAATGCCTTGTAGCGTTCAAACTAAAGTCTCACAATATGAAGGGAGTGGTATCTGATATCACGAGAAAAAGGTAAGGTCCTAGGCAATGTAAAATATGCGTCATATGGAATATCACGTATCAATAATAAAAAGTCTTGTATTATATTATAATACAAAGTTCACCATTCATCTGCAATTCTTGAGGAGCAAATTTTACTGATCAAAAGTTAAAACTTCACAACATAAGTAATAAGTATTTGAAGCAACTGAAACACACATGTCGACTTGATTATGATAGGAAAATTCAAAAATGCATTAACAATAGCTGTAGTAATTCCAATTACAAATAATTGACAAATACCTGAAAAATAATAAAAAAAACTAATCTACTACGCTTTTATTATATTATCGGATAAGCAAACATAGATTTTATAATCTATATATAGTAATAATATATAGTAAATACATGTACATGTCATTTATGTACTTATCTTCCCTTCGACTAATATACTCTGACCAAGAATAAAAGTTGCCATAGGAAGTTGAGAAAAGAATAATGGGTTTACCTATACTTTGCATCACTTTGCAGTCAACTCTTATTAAAAAAGCAGTTCAACACAGACACGAGTAGAAAGAGGTAGTAATACAGTTTTAAGATTTATACTCAAAACACTTGTAAATGTTCTACACTACATCGTCAAATGAAGTCATTATCAACATTTTCCCTTCTACGAAAAATAATTGAAAATATTTTTGACGTACATTCTATCACACAAATACACTTTTAGCAAACTAAAACATTCTAAAGCAACTCATTATGCATAAAAATATTAAAGGAGCGCCGGACGGTTTTACTTTTTTAGTTACAAATGTCCAAAAATATTTTGATCAGCTGGTGACGGCTGAAACTTTTTTTACTTTTGAGTGCACTTTAAAATAAAACCGTTGTTTAAAAAAAAACTTTTTTTAAGGAGTTTATTATTTTGTTGCATTGAACGAGATCTGGTAAAGCCCGGCAACGCTTGTTTAACACGGCTGCATATGCTGATGAAACCCAGGAGGTCATTTCCCCAGGTGGAAGCGTCAGTGCCAACCGGGAGATGCCAGTGCTCGGCTGTAACGCAATATCCACAGTGAAGACGTCACGCGCGCACCTGCGGCACCTGTGCAAAGTTATGACGCGGGTATCTCACCGATGATGTCACCCTGCATCAGTAAAACTCGTCAAGCAATTCAATATCTCACTGGACGGACGGCACAAAGCATCGGCGGTCAGGTCTGTGTAGTTGCGGTTAGAGCGCTGCGCTACGAACCCCGCGACCCGAGTTCGATTCCCGCTCGCGGCCAACACCAATGACGATTATCTGAACCGGTTCTGGGCCTCCCCTAGGTCGACTCGGCCTCAAATGAGTACCGAGTGCGGTGTGTAGTAAACATCGCCACTGGGGAGACAGAGTTCGGTCGGGCGTGGTGCTGGCCACCCACCCACCCCCTCGTGTGCCGTGTCGGCCTTCACGCAGTGCTCGCTGACAGCACTTGCCCCTACAGTCGATTATGGCGAGAATGGGGGATATTTGTGTCTACCGGAGGTTTGTGCACTGCGTGTGTGTGCACTGCGTGTGTGTGCGCTGCGTGTGTGCGCGCTGCGTGTGTGTCTCTGCACACTGACTGTACGTGCACTGTGTGTGTGTTAACATGCTGGTTGTATATAAAGTAGGTCTGAACTAAGTGTGTGTGTGTGCCAATAATAAACGACCTTCATGGCTGTGAGCACACCCGGATACAGCTACGTGGCCTGGAGTCGGAGCCATTTCCTGTTCATCTTGGGGCGCAACAGGGATGTCCTCTGGCTCCTATATGATTTAACGCTTTCTTTGACCACGTATCGTATTTCGAACGCTTTCCATGGTTGTACCAGAGGAATGTCCACTTGGTATAGATGCAATGGGAGGCTAATCGATGCGCGGTTGCATGCTGATGATCTGATAAATTCCTCATCACTCCTGATGAGTTGAGAAGTACGCGGCTGAACCTGGAGCGTGATGCCTCACCATCAGCTGCACAAAAACACATCTGATCTTGTTTCAGAATCAGAATGTTGACACTGAAGGAGGAATCCGATGAGCTATAAAGCTCTTTTTGTCACAGATGTGCAGTATAGGGACACAGGGTGAGAGCGTGACAACAACAAACAGCACAACAAACACGATATGAGTGCAAAGTGCAAGTGAGGTAAACAAATCACCCAACGCACAAACAAATACAACTAAACCATCCCCATCCTGCTAGGCAAAGCCCACTGAAGTATTCACTTGTTTTTTTCAGAAGCGACCTGGCCACAAATGATAGCTCAACAAAGTGTCTTATCATTTGGACATTTATAGCAGAATTTCAATGCATTATTTACATTTACTATTCTACAGGGTGTTTTAAAAAGATGGACCCGATTTCAAAGCAGTACTGCTTTGTATTTGTAATGGGTTCCCAGGACACGGAGACAGCAGAGTAGAGGCAGCACTATTTATTGAACAAGGGGTCACACTGGAAGGGGTAGCGGCCCCTTCACCCGCATACACTCAGGGATAACCCCAGGCTATCTAGCCTAAGCCCTAGGCACCCGATTCCTCCGACTATAGGCGCTAGAGGAGGCTATCTGATCTGGCCCTGGTCAGACACAGATCTCGGCACCCCACCAACCAGACCGGCCCTTAAAAAGACTCCGACTCTGGGGCTCTGGGGCCGCACCACTGGCTTTTCGTGCCAGCCCTGAAAAGGACAGCGGTCACAGGAGTCCCAGGGTCTATCCTAGCTGGCCTTCCTTCTTCACTGGCTTTTCATTCTTGGCCCCAACACACTGCCCTGAGCTCTCTGGCTCCCCGCCCTTTATACCCATACCCCACTGAGGGTGGAGCTATAGCGGACGTGGTTGTAGCCACCAAGGTGTGGTTGTGCCTCACCTTCCCACACCGTGTGTTTCTTCCCCATAGCACCCCTACATCACCCCCTTCCGTGCAGCCCGCAGCCGTCCCGGCTGCAACAATACTGAACAATAAAAATGCAACAAAACCCCAACCGTGCGTGCCTCATAACAATAAACGCCCCAATAAATAACCCAACCCACCTATACAATGGTACACTACATACAACATACATTCCCCCCCCCCCCTTTTCCGCATTCAACCTGATCCCCCCGTGAGCGCAGCAAGAAGACTTAACAGGTGAGTAGAACAATGTGAACAAACAAGTGCAACAAGAAAGCAGTGTCACAACAACCGGCGCGTTTTGGCGCGAGTCCGTTTTGCGGGTCCATCATGGGGGGGGGGGGGGGGGGGCCCGGTCGGCCCGGCGGTGGGCACCGCCCGTGCGGGTGCACAACCCTCCGACATCCCGGGAGGGCAATCTCCGTCCCCACCGGGTGGCGCAGGCGCTCGGGAGGCCGTCATTCTCGAGGCACCTGAAGGCGGAACAGTTAGTGGCGTATCAGGGGCAGGCAGCGAAGACGCCGTCCGGGAGTCAGCGGACACATCACATGCTCGGCCTGTGTAATGTGGTGGAGGGACGCACGGCACCACAAATGGCTTCAGATGCGAGGGGTGTACATACCAGCGACGTTTCCCCCACTGGATACGAATACACTGTGGCCGCATGACCTGCACAATCACCACAGGGCCCCTCCAGTCGCCTCCGTCGGATACAAATTCCTTCAACACTGGCAGGCGTTGTTGAAATGATGGCTCCGTCTCCGACAGGCGCTGCGCGCAGTTCCCGGCATCTCCGTCGGCATTGGAGGGGATGGGGATTCCCATCGGCGGTCGCTCAGGTGATGACGTTGCGCCCGCCGATTGGTTCTGGCAATGAGCGTCCGTCGGCGATAACGTCACAACCGGTGATTGGTCCCCGGTGTCCACGTGGTGCTGCGACCCTCCAATCGCCGTGGTGGACACCGTCATGGCGGCAATTCCGAAATCCTGCGGCTGTGTGTCGGCGGGAATGGCCGTTGATCGGCGTTCTTCGCCCTGTCGCATTGGCGCCTGCAGCCCCGCGCAGTTAATCTCCTCCAGTGTGGAAGCCGCGGCGTACAGCAGCTCAGCCAGACGGGAGTGAGCCGCCCGCAACCCGTCCCCCTTCGGCGGCCACTCCTCCAGCTGCGGCGGCTGTTGGGGCGTCTGTGGCATCCCGGCATCGTCGGCCAAGCCCTCTGGTGCTATCCCAGTCGAGTCGCTCTCCTCCTGAGGTTCCTGCGATTGGTTCGTCCGCCTTGTGTCCATCTTAAGACCACTTCTGACACCAGTTGTAATGGGTTCCCAGGACACGGAGACGGCATAGTAGAGGCAGCACTATTTATTGAATAAGGGGTCACACTGGAAAGGGTAGTGGCCCCTTCACCCGTATACACTCAGGGATAACCCCAGGCTATCTAGCCTAAGCCCTAGGCTCCCGATTCCTCCGACTATAGGCGCTAGAGGAGGATATCTGATCTGGCCCTGGTCAGACAGATTCCGGCACCCCACCAACCAGACCGGCCCTTAAAAGGACTTCGGCTCTGGGGCTCTGGGGCCGCACCACTGGCTTGCCGTGCCGGCCCTGAAAAGGACAGCGGTCACAAGAGTCCCAGGGTATATCCTAGCCGGCCTTCCTTCTTCACTGGCTTTTCATTCTTGGCCCCAACACACTGCCCCGAGCTCTCTGGTCCCCGCCCTTTATAACCATACCCCACTGAGGGTGGAGCCATAGCGGACGTGGTTGTAGCCACCAAGGTGTGGTTGTGCCTCACCTTCCCACACCGTGTGTTTCTTCTCACCAAGGCGCTTAACAATGCTTGCTGACTGCGGTACAACGTGGCAAGGTAAGGGATGGGAATCTCGTAGTGACAGGGTTGGTGGGAGCGAGGATGGAGGCTGCGGCGGTGGAGGCATTAAGGTGTTTGTCGGGGTGGAGCAAGAGGAAAGAGACAGGACCTGAGGGCAATGCGAAAAGAGGAGAGCAAGGGGGAATACTCGGATGTGGAGAGGGAGTTTGTTCCAGTGTAAGGGGGCAAGCAGCGAGAAGGAAGGAAAGCGAGACTGGGCGCAGGGTGCAGGAGGAGGGACAGCGAGAAGATGAGCAGCTTGTGCACGCGCACGGGCACAGGCACGCGGGCAAAACGACGGCCGTATTGATGACAATTTACGCGCGCCCTGCCGTTGATGCGATCGTCGCTACGTAAATACACTGCGTAGAATGCGTTGTGTAAACACGCACGTGAATGGGTTTTAACTCACCCCTCCCTCGCCCTATTAATCACGCGCTGCATGGACATGGGAGCCATTAATGATTTACTATCGGCGCTGCCTCACACACACGCTCGAATTACACACTACGCCGACACTTTCCCCACACCCACAGAAATCACACCACACGGATCCTCTGTGCTAAAGTTTATTAATGGCGTGCCTGAAGAAAAAAAAAAACCCCTGTGTGGCCCGGAGCAAAATTCTCAGCAAGCAGCACCTAGCCTATCCCTATTAAATCCCTGGGTGACCCCCCCACAAGACCCTACGTGGGTGCATATGTGTGTTTAGTGGGGGTGCGCGTGCGTTCGTGTGGAGGAGTACAAGGGGATAGCAGCGCCGGCGGAGTTGCTCCGTTGCTGTGGCACAACTTAGCCCCCCGAGGTGCCCGTTCCCGTCCCGAGTTGACTGGAGCACCTCGTCTGGGCCGCTCCCACCAGGTAACGCTGCGGAGTCCGCGGAATTCGCCCGGCCCTCGTTGCCGGTTTCGTTGGCGGTGGCTCCGTTCTCCGAGGCTCTTGCGGCGGTCTCCTTCTCCACTCCAAAGGCTCCTCCTGCCCCCTGGCATCCGCGGGCTGGGGAACAAACTCAGGGGCAGAGAGGTTTAAGGGCCGCCGCCCCCGCCGCCTCCTGGCCGGGCCGGGGCCCCCTGGGGGCTGGGGTCCCGCGGGGACCATATACGGTGCGAAGCCCTCGGGTATGGGGGGCGCGGGGATCCCGGGGTTTCGGGGTACCTGAATGGCGGGGGTCTCTTTCGCCGGGGCTGCCCTCCATGGTTTTAATCGGCGGACGTTGACCACCGTCTCTCGGCCCCTCTCCCCGCCCTGGATCAGCACCGCTCAGGGGGAGATCTGCCGCACCACGGTCCAGGGTCCACGCCAGTAGGTGGTCAGCTTCCCCACCTGTCCAGCTCCTACGCGCGGGGTGTGCAGCCATACCTTAGAGCCCGCCGAGTAGAAGGGGGGCTCCACACAGGGCTGGGCGCCCTCCTCTTGCCGCTGATGTG